TGACATCTCCTGAGCCAGCTCCCCCACCGACACCCTGAACCCTGGGTGTACCCCTCTGCTCACCCCTCTGCAGATGGCCTCCAGACTTCCCTCCGGGGGCCAGGAATTGAGGAGAAGAGAAATCCCAGGGGGAGAGTGGAGAATGGAGAAAGGAACCAGTTCTCAAGAAGGCAGGGATTGGGTGGCATCGATGATAGTGTCAGGAGGGACCTAAGGATAAGTGCTCTCAAGTGCTCCTCGAACTTAACCATTCTGTCCTCCCAGGGGAAGGCCCCAGCTGCCCCTCATCCTCGCACTATACCTAAGCATCATTTCCCTGCCCTGCTGCCCTGCTCCCCAGCTGGGCTCAGGGCTTCCACTCTGCTCTGTGAGCTGCCTGTGTTCTCCTTGCCACAGTTCTCAGCCTGCTGGTTTGTCACTGCCTCTCTGTGTCCTCACCCCAGACTTAGGAGGGTCCCTGAGGGCTTGGACTCTTAGGATGTTCCCTGTACCCAGGACAGGGCCTGCCCTATTATCTAAGTCCTGGGAAGCAGGTGCTGAATGAATGTACATATTTCTTTTCCAGGGATCTCTGCATCTTCCGTCAAGTGGCAGCAGAGGTGGTGGGCAGGGCTGCTGTTGGCTGGAGCAGCCTTGGTGGGCCAGGCCACCAGGCCTGATCTCTCACCTCATACAGGCAGCATTGCATGATGACAATCAGCGTGAGGACGACTGCGTGCAGGCTGAAGAAGACATCGTTACTGTCCACAGGGTTCACTCCATTGGGGTATTTGAGGAGAAACTGCTCCTGTTTTGGGGTGGGGCAGAGTTGAATAGTGAGGGGTAGCAAGGCCACCAAGCAGCTTGAGCAGGGGTGGGGGGCAGGCCCACTCAGGCATACCTTGATATAGGGCACCCAAAGCAGGCCGATGTTGAACACACTGTAGGCCACAAAGCCTGTCAGGTTCAGGGCCAGGAAATCAAAGCTCAGACCAATGACACTGTAGGGGCAGAAGGGACAAGGCAGGGCGGGGGAGGGGGTGAGGTCTGAGGCCACTGCGGGAATGGGACAGAGCTTCTAGCACATGGAGAAGGAGGGCATAGCCCTTGCCAAGGAGAGCACTGTCCTTAGGTCCCTCCTGACA